AGATAAATAATTCATATTCTATTCAGAGTGAGATTGCAGAGCCAAGGTATACTCCAGTTAATGCATACTCTTCACCTCTTCCCCTTTAAAAGTCAAATCTAAACAATGGCGTATGCATTTATGTGTTGATGGATCATATAGGCCAGAGTCTGTCCTCCTTGTACGGTGACGACTCCAACAAACGCATATCCACGGTTTCTCTAAGTGTTTCTTCTCTCAAGGATTCCATTCTAATGCACAATGCCATATTTTAATACACACAGTACAAGTATGTAGGCTTCGCTGTCATAAAGGGGAGGGAGCTTCCTTCTTGATCAATAGTTTTAGCATACCATTTGGGAATATATTTCTGGGTAAAGAAGTAGCAAGCATTGCCCACGTCCCAAATGGCAACCTATTGGCACCGGTTGGGCCATGGTCCAAAGTAGTGCACTATATAGAGAATCGGGTGCCATTTCAGATGCAGACATTCTGTTCCGTCTTAATTAAGCGTGGAGGTCTTCAGAGAGTTCGGCGCACATTTTAATACACCTTTCATTTAATAGAAACAGATGAACAGACAGTTGGTGTGGGGATGGAATGAGAGGGAATATATCATTAATTGGGAAGCTTTCCAGGTTATTTTTATTGGCACCAAGCTAACTTTCCACAATCCTGCTTCACTAGCTCAGCTAATCTAATGGGATTTATCTGAACAGGCTTTGTTCAGTAGTCAAGGCCTTCAGTATCACAGATGATATCTAGCAGATGATTTGAAGTCATATTAATATATATTCAGACAAATCATTTTATGAATACAGTGTCTTATAAACTCATGTGGGCTGGGCATCCTGAAGATGCAAAACACTCAAATAATAATAAAATAAATTAATAAAATAAAAATATACACTACTCATTCAAGGGTTTGCTGATTGGCTGAAATGCATTAAGAAGAAAATAAATTCCACAAATTAACAAGGCACACCTGTTATTTGAAATGCATTCCAGGTGACTACCTCATGAAGCTGGTTGAGAGAATGCCATGAGTGTGCAAAGCTGTCATCAAGGCAAAGGATGACTATTTGAAGAATCTCAAATATAAAATATATTTTGAATTGTTTAACACTTTTTTGGTTACTGGGGATGAGGCTTACTATATATGCTGTATTGTTTCAAATAAAAAATGAAATGGACATATGAATTGCACATATTTCCTTCTGGGGGGGCAGTGTTTACCATCTATCTGTTTTTATATACACCTCGGTAACTACATGAGTCAGTGGAAAATAAAACTATGTCAAGGCAGCACCTCCACTCACGACACAGTTTGAGAAGAGACTTTCGACTTCCCAACTCAGCGATTCAGCTGAGGGCCTGACCGACAGCACAGGGGGGTTGGGGGCAGTGATGATGATGATGACAGATCTGCCTCACCACTAATGTGTACTTATCTGCCTATTGGAAGAGGTTTGTCAAATTGTGATTTATGCTTCCCCCCCCCCCCCCCCGAGCGCAGAAAACAAAGTCATAGTTATCTCTCGCTTCCATACGGCCTGTTTCTCAAGAAAATAAAGGAGGGATGGGAGGGTTATCTTGGGGAAGAATTTGGGTGTCTTTCTCTCTCTCTCCCTCATCTGTCTTCGTTCACGCTGACATTCCCCCCATAGAAGGATTACACCTCAGAAATAATGCCATGGACAAGAGTAGAGGGGGGTTACGTCTCCCCTGTTGACTTTAGAGGGTGGTCTGTTCGATGTGCAGGTATTGGGCAAAATTATGAGAAAATAATGGACCCTACAATATACTGTATGACGATATGGAACAGTCCTTCTCAATGACTGGGTGAAGTTATGCTTTGCATTTTGGCGACTCCACAGCAACAGTAACACTGTGAACTAAGAAGTCCATGTTGCACAGTACAACTTTATTTCACATAACTTGATGGTAATAGTCTAATAATTGTGTACCAAAGCCAAATTGTGCACAGGCGCTGCACACATCATGTAATGTAAAGTTCATAGAGAAGCCTGAGAGGATGTCTACTTTCAAAGTCTGTGTGTGTCCTGTTTGGACAGCTCAAACTGTGGACAACCCTCTTCCCCTCTCTCTCTCTCTCTCTCTCTCTCTCTCTCTCTCTCTCTCTCTCTCTCTCTCTCTCTCTCTCTCTCTCTCTCTCTCTCTCTCTCTCTCTCTGTCCCTCTCTCTTTCTCTCTGTCCCTCTCTGTCCCTCTCTGTCCCTCTCTCCCAGCCATAATACAGGCTTTAACTAAAGCCATCAGCTGTGTTCTTTTGCTACAATATCATGTAGGGATATCAGGGATATCAACACACCACAAAGAGCCTCCTTAGAATAACAGAGAGTGAGCCAGGCTCAGGTTACTGGCTTCCTCTCTCTCTGTCTCTCTCTGTCTCTCTCTGTCTCTCTCTGTCTCTCTCTCTCTCTCTCTCTCTCTCTCTCTCTCTCTCTCTCTCTGTCTCTCTCTGTCTGTCTCTCTCTCTCTCTCTCTCTCTGTCTGTCTCTCTCTCTCTCTCTATCTATCCCATCGATCTCTCTCTCTTCATCCCATCCCTCTCTCTCTCTCTCTCTCTCTTTCTCTCTCCAAACAGACTAGCTGCATTATTTATCCATCACTCTGTTACTATTTAGACATTTGGGGAATCTGAAACTTTCTGTCTGAGGAGGAAAGTGAGGCATCGCTCCAGCCCCAACACAATGTCATGGGCTCATCTAGGAAGTAATAGCCATAAAAATAGCTAGTAGCTACAATGCTGGCTATGGCTATTCGGATATGAAATTCTAACAATGCAAATAATACCGAAATGCCTATTGTATCCAAAAAGAAAGACACAAATGAAGAAAGAACAAAATATAAAAGGAAAGGCCTACAGAATGAAAGGCGATGACAGATACAAAATGACAAAATGTCCCTATTTCTTAAGCACAGATACGGTCCATTTCATCCTAGAGAAAGGAGTTGATTACTAAACGAGCATGGACTAAAACAACCGTGCTAATTGCAATCGTTTATTTATTTTATGTCTCTTCCCTTCCTCTTGTCTCCCCCCTCTTTCCCATCCTCATTCCCCCTCCCGTCTCCTCCTCTCTCCCAGCATTCACCCTCACCCGTCAGGGAAGATTTGATAAAAACGGCATGCACTTAAAACCACG